ATTTTTCCAAACCCCTCCTTTGCGTGACGCTAATCTGCGGTGATTGGTCCGATTGGTCGATTTCATTTCCATTTCATAATAAAAGCTGCGTTTGTGAGCGCAGTGCTGCTTTGTTTACAGCGTTACCGGGGAAACCGCTGTTTTTACCGCTCCAAAAGCTGTACCTAGTGGCAAAGAATGAATTTGCAGTTTCATTCAGACCAATGCGAAAAGACCAACGAGTGGGCGGGCAATATGCTAATGTTTCATGTTGACGTCAACATGAAACGGCTTGGGATTCGTTTTAAAAATGACTCGTTTCAATGATTCAGAGTCGACTCTTTCTTTTGAGAGACAATAACTTTATTCACGGTGCACTTTCAGATTTAAAACTTTGCAGAATGTTTTCATTCACTTAGAGCTGTGTTACACATTGCATGAAATGTCATTTTCAAAAATCCATAATAGGGGCACTCTAATTGCAAAATTAATTTGCTGTCAGAACAAGCTGTTTCTGCTTCTTTTTGGATTGGGGAGGGAGTTATGTTATTTTATAGTACAATAAACTGTTTTCTGTGAAAGTTTGTTTCCCCCACTGAATAATCTCACAATTTTGATTTAAACTCACAATTGCATGTTAAAAAAGTCAGAAATGTCATGAAATCTCTTCTGAGATTTTCTCGCAATTGTGAGTTTTTTCAAGCAATTGTGACCTCTTTTCTAAGAATTGTGAGATAAAAACTTGCAATTGCGAGTTATAATTTCCAATGATGAGAAAAAACGTCAGCTCACAATTCTGACATTTTCTTACAATTACAAGTTTATATCTTGCAATTCTGACTTTAAAACACACAATTGCAAGTTTATATCATGCAGTTCTGACTTTGTAGCTCACAACTTGTCAACTCATGCAATTCTGAGAAAAAGTAAGAATTACGAGACATACTGTAAAATTGCAATTGCTAGAAAAAAAGTAAGAATTGTGAGATATAAATTCGCAGTTACCTTTTTTATTTTTTATTCAGTGACGGAAACAAGCTTCCATAGTTTTCTTTCAAAGTGACCAAGTAAAATTCAATATTCCATTATATAAGCGAATATATGCTGCTATTCCTGCAATTCTGTAGTATTTAGTTCCTGCAGTGCTACTGTTATTATTGCATTGCTATTTAAGTGAATCTTTATCTTTCTTAGTGGTAAAAAGCGTAAGCCAGCATGGACTGATCGTATTCTTTGGAGGTTGAGGCCGATGGCTCAGGTCAGCAACAGCATGTCGAAGCGCAGCCCCTTGTCAGGTCTAACCAGCGGAACTTGTGTGTCGCAGCATTTTTACCGCAGTCACATGGAGTACACCATCAGTGACCACAAGCCCGTCTCCTCTATTTTCACTCTGCAGGTAAGCACGCTAACATGGCTCTAGTTATAATGACTAATTCCTTTTTTTTGGGGTAATATGAAATATCGAGAGATTGAGTATGGTGAGATTTGCTCACCATCAGGCCATCCAAGATGTAAATGAGCTTGTATCTTCATAGGAACCGATTTGGTGAAATGTAGTATTACATCATTTGCTCACCAATGGATCCTCTGCAGTGAATGGGTGCCGTCAGAATGAGAGTCCAGGCAACTGCTAAAAACATCACAATAATCCACAAGCAATGACTCCAGTCCATCAATTAACATCTTGTGAAGCCTAAAGCTGTTGTTTGTAAGAAACAAATCCATCATTAAGACATTGAAAACTTTAAACTGTTGCTTCAAGCTAAAATACGAGTCCTCTAAACATAATATTGCTTACTCCAGTGAAAAAGTCATCTCGTCTGAATCAGGAGAGAAATATGCAGTCCAAAACAGTTCTAAACAAATATGTGGGTGTATTTTGAAAAGAGAGGACAACAGGCGATGAACTTTATTACCAGAGGAAGCGTTATTATGGATTTTGGACCTGTATTTTAGCCAGAAGCATTGGTTTGAAGTTAAAAACATCTTAATGATGGATTTGATTCTTACAAACATGCAGCTTTTCACTTCACAAGATAAATGATGGACTGGCATCGTGTGGATTACTTGTGGATTATTGTGATGTTCTAATCAGCTGTTTGGACTCTCATTCTGACGGCACCCATTCACTGCAGAGGATCCACTGGTGAGCAAGTGATGTAATGCTACATTTCTCCAAATCTGTTCCTATGAAGATACAAACTACATTTTGCATGGCCTGAGGGTGATTAAAATTTTCAGCAAATTTAATTTTTGGGTGAAGTAATCCCTTAATGCCAAGCTATACATTGAATACTGTTATGAATGTACTAGGTTGCTGTTTCACCGGTCATGAATGTATACACTTATTGAGAGTAACTTTCATGCTGAGTTTGTGCAATGTGTTTAACATGTGATGGTCCTTTTAGTTCCCATATAGGGTGGACATGCCTTTAGTAACACTCTTTGTAGAGGATGAATGGACAGAGATATCCGATGCAGTGGCCAAATACAAGGTGGCACCCAACTTTGCTCGAAGCTCTTGGGACTGGATTGGACTTTACAAGGTTATTTCAATAATTTCAACAGTTCTGAGCATTTAGATATATGTGGTAAATGTAGTGTGATACAAATATAATTTTTGTCACTTGATTTGTGTTTTTAAGTACAAAAATGTATTTTCACAGGTTGGGTTTAAACATCATAAAGACTATGTGGGTTATGTTTGGGCCAAGCAGGAAGAGTCTGATTTCTTGAGACAGGAGCACCAAGTAAGGGCAAATCATACATCCATTTAGCTGCAAGAAAAAGACATTCACTTGTGTTCATTAAGTCACAAATTGAAGCTTGTGAATTTTATTTAAGAGTTTTTGATTCGGAACCTTCAGGTGATTTTTACTGAGGAAGAATTGCCAAAGGATTCTGGGGACTTCATACTGGGTTATTATAGCAACAATATGAGCTCCATTGTGGGCGTCACCGAGCCATTCCAGGTAATCTCAATCTCTTAACTGTTCATTCCAGCATGTACTAAATATGCACCATAAAACTCTTCTCAGATACTTTAAGTTTTTCTTAAGTTTGAATTTTCTGAAGTTATAGACTATTAAATGTATTTTCGTAATTTGAAATAAAGCTGAAATAAAATAAAAAATAAATAGATGAAACAATTTTAAATATTGCTTTTGGAACTAACTGAAATAAAATATTTAGGCCGTAAGAACAATTTTTTTATTGTTGTTGTTGCTAATTGTTAGTAATATTTTAAAGGGGTCCTATTATGCTTTTTCACTTTTTCAACTTTCACAGATGCATTGTAGGCTACTTGTTTTAGGAAATAGTCCTCATCCTCCATAAAATGCGCAGCACACATCTGAATATTTGGGTTGAACTGTTCTGGAACAGTGTTGTAAATACAACTTAACCACTGATTTCTAGTAGGTATGTGGGGGCGTGTTAGAACGAGCCGTTTTAGGTAGGCGTGGTTGACTCTTAACTTTTATAAAGAATATCTCTTTGGATTTGAGACTTTAGTCTTTGCAACTTTACAGATCTTCTTTATGCACCAAGAGCTTGTAACACTTCAAAGAGAAAGGAAAAATTTAAATCGCATCATATGACCCCTTTAATGGACTGAAGCAATTTAGCTTTTATTTGATTTTCCATACATCATTTAAAAAAATCATGTTAAAATGTATAAAATATGATCCATCAGGCTTTGTATTTGCATTGTATTATATGTTTTCCATTTAAATATTACACATTTGCATGATATGTTTTGCATTTAATAAAAATCTCGGTAAGACATTATTGAGAGAGATATAGTAATAAATGATATTTATGTATTTTATGTATGTAGTTCGATGTTATTGGTTTACATTATAAGCTATTCGGATTCCATCTGACTTTTTGTCCATATAGATATCAGCATGTGAACCAACTGTATATTTTTGCTGTTTTTCCTCCTCAAGTATGAGCTCCATATTCTTTTACTAGATGTTACAAATGTTGTTGTCTTTAACAACAACATTTATTTATAAAGCACATTTAAACACAATATAAATTGATCCAAAGTGCTGTACAGTGTGTACAAGCAGGTCTACACAATAAAACATACCACACTATATGCACCATAAAAACCTGATGCATCAAAAATGATGCATTTTATGTGATGTTTTGAGATTTTTAAAAAATATATTTTGGCTAAATGTAAAATCTTTTTATATTAATATATTTAACCTTTTATATTAATGGTAGATTTTTCTATTATTTCATATGGCTTTATAGGGTTAAGTCCAAGTATTAAAATTGCTCAAGCTAAAATAAAAAATAATGCTAAATAGAAATAGTAAGCAAACATCAAAATGACAAATGTACACAAAAAATAACTAAAGTGTAAACTAAAATTAATATGAAAACTAAAAAGATGAAAATGCTCGAAAGTTCAAAATACAACTTGTACAATATACTATATTAATACCACAGATTTTTGAAATTAAGCTTTGAAAATGTTTCTTGTCTTTTAATCTCACCTAAGATTCAACTGCCAGCATCCGCCGCAGCTGGTCTGAGTCCGTCTGACAGCTCTGACTTCACATCTGATGATGAGGTGAAGAAGAGCGACTCCTGTGACTCCAGCCCTGAGACTGAAGAGAAGCAGAGCAGCAGCTGGAGCTCCAGACGAGCCAAAGGGAAGACGGCAAACCCCAATGAACCGCACTCCAAAGACACCTCTGCACATTCCAGCTCCAGCAGGCCGGCCGGTGGGACCGCCGGGTCCTTCGGTGACCCCGTCGCTACGGATGACAGCTCTAACTCAGGAAAAGATGCAACCAAGCCAGAGGAACCTTAGCTAAGCACAGCACCTTCTCTGGAGAAAGATATCAGCTCGAGGCTGGGATCGCAGGTTTCAGCTGGGTCTGTGATGTCGTTGTACATTTACTGTCCTGTGATGTTGTTTAGAGATGTTGTCTTATATGTTGCAGGGCAGAAGTAAGCGTTTAGTATGTGGCTCCCTCCAGCAAACACAAGAGGGCAGACTAAATTGTTTTGTGTAGTTATTCTATTCATATTCTTCTTCTCCTATTCCTTTCTAACTGCACAAGACTAAATCTGAAACTCTCAGAAATAATCTTCGATATACATGCACAATGATATGTGATTCGTGGATTTGGTTTTCCAGGATCAACCAGGGTTTAATGCACAACAGAACACAATTCTGGTTCTTACTGGATTTACTGGAGCAGATCCTCTTAAGTTTTTCCAGTGCTCTGTTCCAAACTCTAGTTGAGCTGCCTATCTAGGCATCATTAGCTATGTTTCCACCCAAAGTTGTGAATTTAATTTATGCACAAAATTGAAATAGCGCACAAAACTTTTATGAATAAAGCACCGTTTTTATCCAGCAAGACGAAGAGAACAAAATCGTAACTTCCTGAAAACTGGTGCCACATATCTCTAAGAAAAGGTAATTTGCTGCAGTAGGAGAAGCCACTGTGGGTCTTTTTCGTAAAATAAATTACGCAGACAAAAGGCAATAAACACAGTCATGTCATCCTGCATTCGGAGGCGGATGCCTGCTGTTTGGAAATGCAACTGTGAAAGGCAGTTCTGTAAGGTTGTCATACCGAACCACTTTGGCGACAGACTTTGGCTCAAGCTTTTAAAAATGACTAAAACAACATTTCAGATGTTGTGCAACAAGATCGGTCCACTAGTTAGTCCAGTTATGCCGTCTCATTGCGCAAAGTCACATGACTTTTTAGATGCACATCAAGGAATTTATTCATAGTTTATGCGCATGTTTTCTTATCAGATAAAAAATGTATCTGCCTCAATTGATTGCATACATTTTTTGAATTTGGCGCATCTTGCCATTTCCATCATGTGTTTTTTATGCAATACCCCAAAATGTGCATACAAATAGGTGGATGGAAACATAGCTACTGACACGCACCAGACTCCCAGATTTGATGCTGTCTGGTAAGATATCTTGTTTTGGCAAAGCATCTCACCCCTCAAGGATTGGGCAATCCCAGACTGCACTGTGAGAAATATTAATCAATTCTGAAAAGATTGGAGTAAAACAGCTCTGTCTCAGTGACTATTTCAGGCAATATTTATGTGTGCTACGTAATTTGCTACATCAGAACAACCTCAGACTCTATCTGAGGTAATCAACTGTAAGCATTAGTCTGGTTTATCATGGGAAGTGGTGCATTAAAAGACTTACATTTCATTTAGGACACTGCCTTGTAAGGTAGCCGCCTATGTAGATAGCAGAGAGCGAGGCAGTTCCTTAGGATTTGAAGCAGAGCTCGTGACTTTACAGTGTCCTGCCATAGAGGATGTCGAGAATACCCTGCTGAAGGTGACATGCTGTCAACAGCACCTTATTAAGCCAGGGAAAGGTTTATGATAACAATACACATGCTCTGAAAATGCATATTTACTCTCCTCAGGTTCTTGAAAGGCAGACACACATAAAGGGATGACTCTTGGCTAACGCAGCACTCAGTAAAGTAAAGTACAGTTTGTATATTATTCATGTCCATTGCCATCTTAACCAACTGTTAGCATTTTACGATATTATAGAACAATGATGAAGTCTATTGCTCTCAAAGTTGTGACTGCTGTGCCGTCCTGTGGTTAATGTTCTCAAAAATAATTTCAAAGTAATGTCATGCTAGTTTAAAGTCAACATGAAATGCTGTTCACAAACCAATTTTGCATTGTATATTTTAGAATGAAACAGGATAGTCACTGAAAGAAGAACATTCACCAGTGAATGAACACAGAACACATTTTTTGTGTTTAAAAACACAAGACACAGAACAGTGGAATGAAAAAATGGTGCTGAGATGCATTTTTACAAGATGCACAACACGGGTGCCCTGTTTTAAGAACTCCGTGTCATGATCGAGATGCTGCAAAAGATGCAAGTGCCACAGTCAAAAACGTCCGTTTTAGTAAAGTGGAATGCAAAAATGTGTTCTGTGAGCACAATGGTCAGGGACATCATCTGGTGCATCTATATGTAGAAAAACAATGGAAAAGAAGTGCAGTGGAATGCAAAAATGCGTTTTGTGTGAACGGCACCTTAAGGTGCATTCATAACTTTTTATTACACTTGAATGGAAGAATATGAAGAAAAACACTTTTTAAATGTAACTTTGACCAGTGACTCCTGCGCTGTAAGGGCCTGTTCACACAAAATGCGTTTTTGCACTTAAGAACACATGACACAGGGCAGTAGAATGGAAAATGCACACTTTTAACTTGAGTATTGCTTTTTTTAAATGTTGTGTCATGCGTAAGACGCTGCAAAAGACATGACAGCAAAGGTCAAACGTACGTATATATACAGTGCAAAATGCACTAGACATACATGAGCCATTTTTAACTTGAGTGCTACATTTTTAGAATGCCACGTCATGTGTGAGACACTGTAAAAGATGTAAGCACAAAGGTAACAAAGGCCCGTCTAATTCACGTTTACATACAAAAAAAAAACAATGGAAAAGATGAGCAGTGGAATGCAAAAAAGAGTTCTGCGTAAACAGCCCCTTAAAATGTGTTCATACTCATTTTTTAGAACACTTTCATGGAAGAATACGAAGACAGACATTTTTTAAATGTAATGCTCAGCAGTGGCTCCTGCGCTATAAGGGCTGGTTCACACAGAATGAGTTTTTGCATTTAAAAATTATGAGGCACAGGGCATTAAAATTTAATTTTTAGAATGCCATGTCATGTGAGACGCTGCAAAAGACACAAGCACAAGAGGCACATCCATGTAGGCTAAATGAAAAAAAATGAGTTTTGTGTGAACGGCCCCTTATGATACTTTCCTACAAACGTCTTATTACAATTTGATGGAAGAATACAAAGAAAATAGTTTTTTTACATGTTGCATTCACCAGTGACTTGTGCGCTATAAGGGCCAGTTCACACAGAGCGTGTTTCTGTTTTTTTTTAAAAACAGTGGAATGAAAAAACGCAGCGACATCAATAACTTTTAACTTGAATGCTATGTGTTTGGAATGCTGAATTGTGTGATATCCTGCAAAAGATGCAAGATTCAAGTGCAATGGTCAAAAATGTCAGTCTAGTGCAAGTTTATGTAGAAAAACATTGGAAAAGAAGTGCAGTGGAATGCAAAACGCATTTCGTGTCAACGGCCCCTTAAGGTGCATTCATGCTTAAATCGCTGGAGTTTGCCAAACTAGGCATTCCTGTATTATCCACAACATCACATTGCTGCGGATTTGCATAAAGTTAAACTCTGCTCAACTTTATCGCATTGACAGCGTTTTCACCGAATGACTTTCAGTTGTTTCGTCGGTGCAAATCACTGTCAGGGAACACACAATCCAGAATTTTGATTTCATGTTGACTTTAAACGATGATTGCATGGTTTCTATCTGATCTTTAGTCTGACTTGTGCCAAGTATTGTATCATGACTGTACTTGTGGTAGGAATCCTAGCATATGTGTTGTCTAGGGCTTTCTAGGATTTATCCTACTCGTCTCCTCTACATCTCTTCTCCTTTCTCTGTATTTCCTCTCCTCTCTCATTCCTCATCTTGTCTTTTTGTCTCCAGTTCGACCCCTCCAGGGTCACGGTAATCTGTTTTGACGTCGTCTACAGAGCTCTATTAAGTGCTCCGATATCGTAATCTATTGGATTAGTAGTTCGTAACCCATAGAAATCTTGTACCATGACTACTTAGCCTTAGGACACGTGGCGTGCTGTCTCACTGTTTACATGGTTAGCTGAGTGAGAGTGTAAGCGTGTCAGTGTATATGTTTTTGCATGGACGTGTCATGGATATTCACAGTATCGTGCTGTCTGCTACCTTTCAATATTGTAGAGGTGTGTCGAGAAGTGTCACTTCTAGATGGAGTAGAGAAAATGTGGACGATGGAAGTAGTCATTCTTTTACATTCTAATCTTTATAGTTTGCTGTTGGAATATCTTTGGAAATCACAATCTGGCATTCTGGAACGAGATACTTTTTGCTAGAAATACTGTAAGTTAAAAGTCTATAGCGAGAAAATGGATATCTGTATGTGTTTTAGATAGGTAATCTCTATTTTCCGTAGGACCTTCACAACACTTCTCATGTCTGATTTCTTCAAACCTAGTTCATTTGCAACACTATCAATTGCAAAAAAGTAACCAAAACCAGGATCAGGTGTGTTAATACTCATTATATTTTTATACTCCATTAGCCATACAAAATTTAAAAGCTAATATGAATAAGATACAGTATTGGAAAATTCACTTTCCTTTCAAAGCCAAATAAATGTTTTGCAAGTGCGAGTGTTTGATACTTTGTATAATTTTGGTTGTCATGCATTTTTTAAAATTATTTTATTCTGAGAAATTCATATATATATAAGCATGCGAAGGAAATGTTATTAGCAGAAATGAGCTCTATGATTATTATTAGACGAGATGTGGGTATATAGATCCAGTATGTAGAACAGATGACAATCAGTGCCAAAACAGAGAAGAAACTTTAAGATTATATTTATTTTCTTATCCATGCCATTATGTGCATGTCAGATTCTGCTGGTCAGCGTGTTCATTTATAAATCATTATGAAGAAGGTGATTTATGATTATATTGAGAATATGAATTTATAATTTTATTTTCCTTTAAGATTTTTCAGTTCTGCATCTTTATTGTTCATTAAAGCAAATGTCACATACCCATTGCCGTTTGCTTTATATTCACCTTGATTATAACGAAACACTTTTTTGGACTTGCATTGGGCAGAATGTATCGATTTGGTAGACTTGTGAATCACTGTTCTTGGTTGTTGTTGTTGTATAATGGTGTCTTGCCTTAGACCACTGTCAAATATTGGTGTCAAAATGAAAATAAATCCTTTTGAAAGTGGAATATTTTTATTACTGTTTCATGAAGAAAATGTATAATCCTACTACAGCTCAAAAGTTTAGGGTCAACTGACTTTTTTTTTTTTAAAGAAATACTTTTACATTGAAGTAACAGTAAAGACATTTATAATGTTACTAAAGATTTCTATTTCAAATAAATGTTGTTCTTTTGAATCTTCTGTTCATCAAAGAATCCTTTAAAAGGTTTCCGCAAAAATAGCCTATTAAAATGTTCTCAACATGATGATGATAATAATAATAATAAAATGTTTTCCTGAGCAGCAAATCAACATATTACAGGATCATGTGACACTGAAGACTGGACTAATGATGCTAAAAATTCAGCTTTGCATCACAGAAATAAATTACATTTTAAAATATATTCAAATAGTAAACAGCTATATTAAATTTTAATAATGTTTCACAATATTACCATTTACCAAAATACATGTACTGTATTTTTGATCAAATAAATGTAGCTTTGGTGAGCAGGAGACTTCTTTTAAAAGCATTAAAAAAATGACCAATTCTAAATTTTTTAATGGTTGGGTAAACGACATATTTTGAAGAATATTTATGCAGATCTTTTTCTTGTTTCCTGTACACTGAAAAAAAAAAATGATACTACTTTTTTAAGGCAAGTGGTTGCAAACTATTTATTTTAGCTACATTTAAAAAAAATGTTGAAAGTTAGTCAACTAAATTTGTTTATTTAAATGTAACTCAAATAAATTGATTGCAACCACTTACCTTAAAAAATCATTTTTTTCAGTGTATCTTGTTCAATGGATTTGTCAGGATGAAAACATCTGTCATTTTTCAGAATTATAATTTTAGTTTGAATTATTATAAACTAAGAAACAAGTTAGGCTACAACACTTAAAGGCAGGTCATGACACATCGTGCGTGTTCCTCATCTGACACTTGATGGATACCAAAGTGCAATGGTTATGTCATCAATTGTTACATAGTCCATTCACTCTATTACTGTTCAGAAGATAATAATACAGGTCATTAGACCCAGAGATAAAATATGGAAGCAATTAAAGTCTGCAGAAAAC